TGGAGATGGACAGTGAATGACAGCATGAGGGGAGAGACCAATCTTAATTATGTGGAGATGGACAGTGAATGACAGCATGAGGGGAGAGACCAATCTTAATTATATGGAGATGGACAGTGAATGACAGCATGAGGGAAGAGACCAATCTTAATTATATGGAGATGCACAGTGAATGACAGCATGAGGGGAGAGATCAATCTTAATTATATGGAGATTGACAGTGAATGACAGCATGAGGGGAGAGACCAATCTTAATTATACGCAGATGGACAGTGAATGACAGCATGAGGGGAGAGACGAATCTTAATTATACGGAGATGGACAGTGAATGAAAGCATGAGGCGAGAGACCAATCTTAATTATATGGAGATAGACAATGAATGACAGCATGAGGGGAGAGACCAATCTAAATTATATGGAGATGGACAATGAATGACAGCATGAGGCGAGAGACCAATCTTAATTATACGGAGATGGACAATGAATAAGAGCATGAGGGGAGAGAGAAAGATGATATTTTTTTAATGAGATAAAAGTTAGCAATATTATGATGATGAGAGGAAAATTCTTGTAGACGGCCTATGCCCCAGACGGGGTAGAAAGGCATAAGTATAAGTAAGTAAGTAAGATTACGGTTACGTCACGATGCAAATTTAAAAAAAGACATTGCCACAACGTGTTTCTATTGGTTGGGTGCGAGGGCAAAGTTTATACTTGAGGGATACATGTGACTAGACAAAGAAACGACTCTGTCATTTGGTCTAACGTCAACTTGAACGAGGCTTCCAATAGGACCAGACACATTACAGCATTAACGAGACCGAGGCTTCCAATAGGACCAGACACATTACAGCATTAACGTGACCGAGGCTTCCAATAGGACCAGACACATTACAGCATTAACGTGACCGAGGCTTCCAATAGGACCAGACACAAACGTTTTTATTGACAGGATGGTAATCTCAGACTTAACAACAATTGATCCAGAATTATATAATGAAGCACAATTTAACAAGTCATTTGTGCGTCCTGTGAGAATGAAAGGGTGAACGCACTGATACCCACTGTGGTGATCCAATTATGCGAACATAATAATTAGGACATTTAAGGTTTTGTCTTGACCCCCACATCATCGCAGAACCTAGAAGGTTTAAAATCGTCATACGTCACCGTAGCACCTAAAAGGTTTAAAATCGTCATACGTCACCGTAGCACCTAAAAGGTTTAAAATCGTCATACGTCACCGTAGCACCTAAAAGGTTTAAAATCGTCATACGTCACCGTAGCACCTAAAAGGTTTAATGTCACCATACCTCACCCTAGCACCTAAATAGTTTAATGTCGTCGTAGGTTACCGTAGCACCTAAAAGGTTTAATGTCGCCATACCTCACCGTAGCACCTAAAAGGTTTAATGTCGCCATACCTCACCGTAGCACCTGAAAGGTTTAATGTCGCCATACCTCACCGTAGCATCTAAAAGGTTTAATGTCGCCATACGCCAACGTAGCACCTACAAGGTTTAATGTCGCCATACCTCACCGTAGCATCTAAAAGGTTTAATGTCGTCATACGCCACCGAAGCACCTACAACGTTTAATGTCGCCATACCTCACCCTAGGACCTAAAAGGTTAAATGTCGCCATACCTCACCCTAGTACCTACAAGGTTTAATGTCGTCATACGCCACCGTAGCACCTACAAGGTTTAATGTCGCCATACGCCACCGTAGCACCTAAAAGGTTTAATGTCGTCATACGCCACCGTAGCACCTAAAAGGTTTAATGTCGCCATACCTCACCGTAGCACCTACAAGGTTTAATGTCGCCATACCTCACCCTAGCACCTAAAAGGTTTAAGGTCGCCATACCTCACCCTAGCCCCTACAAGGTTTAATGTCGTCATACGCCACCGTAGCACCTACAAGGTTTAATGTCGCCATACCACACCCTAGCACCTAAAAGGTTTAATGTCGTCATACCTCACCGTAGCACCTAAAAGGTTTAATGTCGTCATACCTCACCCTAGCACCTAAAAGGTTTAATGTCGCCATACCTCACCCTAGCACCTTCAAGGTTTAATGTCGTCATACCTCACCGTAGCACCTAAAAGGTTTAAAATCGTCATACGTCACCGTAGCACCTAAAAGGTTTAATGTCGCCATACCTCAACCTAGCACCTACAAGGTTTAATGTCGCCATACCTCACCGTAGAACCTAAAAGGTTTAAGGTCGCCATACCTCACCCTAGCGCCTACAAGGTTTAATGTCGTCATACCTCACCCTAGCACCTAAAAGTTTTAATGTCGCCATACCTCACCCTAACACCTACAAGGGTTAATGTCGCCATACCACACCCTAGCACCTAAAAGGTTTAATGTCGCCATACCTCACCCTAGCACCTTCAAGGTTTAATGTCGTCATTCCTCACCGTAGCACCTAAAAGGTTTAATGTCGTCATACCTCACCCTAGCACCTAAAAGATTTAATGTCGCCATACCTCAACCTAGCACCTACAAGGTTTAATGTCGTCGTAGGTTACCGTAGGACCTAAAAGGTTTAATGTCGTCGTAGGTTACCGTAGCACCTAAAAGGTTTAATGTCGTCGTAGGTTACCGTAGGACCTAAAAGGTTTAATGTCGTCGTAGGTTACCGTAGCACTTAAAAGGTTTAATGTCGTCGTAGGTTACCGTAGCACCTAAAAGGTTAAATGTCGTCGTAGGTTACCGTAGCACCTAAAAGGTTTAATGTCGTCGTAGGTTACCGTAGCACATAAAAGGTTTAATGACGTCGTAGGTTACCGTAGCACCTAAAAGGTTTAATGTCGTCGTAGGTTACGTTAGCACCTAAAAGGTTTAATGTCGGCGTAGGTTACCGTAGGACCTAAAAGGTTTAATGTCGTCGTAGGTTACCGTAGCACCTAAAAGGTTTAATGTCGTCGTAGGTTACCGTAGCACCTAAAAGGTTTAATGTCGTCGTAGGTTACCGTAGCACCTAAAAGGTTTAATGTCGTCGTAGGTTACCGTAGGACCTAAAAGGTTTAATGTCGTCGTAGGTTACCGTAGCACTTAAAAGGTTTAATGTCGTCGTAGGTTACCGTAGCACATAAAAGGTTTAATGTCGTCGTAGGTTACCGTAGCACCTAAAAGGTTTAATGTCGTCGTAGGTTACCGTAGCACCTAAAAGTTTTAATGTCGTCGTAGGTTACCGTAGCACCTAAAAGGTTTAATGTCTTCTTTGTTTTTTTAAACGCAATAAGATTTCCCCTCTCAGAGGTTAAATGCCCCTCTATAATCTTCAGAATGCTACCCTACCCATCCCTGGGGGCGTGCGCTTCACTTCGAGAAGCACTGATATGAATGTATCGTTATTAGTGAGTTTTTCGTTCGTGTAAACATCGCTTCAGTTTTACAGCAATGTATCAATAATCGATTCAATGGGACGGCCGGCAACGTTAATCTTTGATTCAGAGTTAAGGACTGTCTTTGAAAGATCGTACCGATGAATTTTTCATTATTTCTAATGTGTGCCTGGGACGAATACGACTACTCACCTAGGATGGTTTGACCTTAACTCTACGTCCGTTGAAAGGCCGCCGTGGTAAAGCTAATTCCAAAATAGGACGATATCTGTTGCTTCTGTTGAAGGGATCTAACATGGTCAGAGCTATGTTATTGAAGGCATCTCAAACGGTGAGCGTAATATTATTTTATTCTTATATGCAGCGTGTCTGAAGGTCGTTTGATTAGTGTGTCTGAAGATGGTTAGATTAGTGTGTCTGAAGATCATTTGATTAGTGTGTCTAAAGATCGTTTGATTAGCGTGTCTGAAGATCGTTTGATTAGTGTGTCTGAAAATCATTTGATTAGTATGTCTGATGATGGTTAGATTAGTGTGTCTGAAGATCATTTGATGAGCGAGTCTGAAGATCGTTCGATGAGTGTGTCTGAAGATCGTTTGATTAGTGTGTCTGAAGATCGTTTGATTAGTGTGTCTGAAGATGGTTTAATTAGTGTGTCTGAAGATAGTTTGATTAGTGTGTCTGAAGATCGTTTGATGAGTGTGTCTGAAGATCGTTTGATTAGTGTGTCTGAAGATGGTTTAATTAGTGTGTCTGAAGATCGTTTGATGAGTGTGTCTGAAGATCGTTTGATGAGTGTGTCTGAAGATCGTGTGATGAATGTGTCTGAAGATCGTTTAATGAATGTGTCTGAAGATCGTTTGATTAATGTCTCTGAAGATCCTTAAAAAACGATTTTGGCATACCCTTACATGACCTTACGTGAACAGTTGTATTTTATCATACAGCTACATTCCATTAATTGTGATCCGCATAATAACAAGAAGTAATTACTTTTGTTATATTCTAATACATAAAAATCACGTTATAATACAATAAAAAAGGAAACACATTTTTCAAAATATTAATATATATTATTACTAAAGTCATATACAATGATAAGTCCCTCTATACATGCATTTTTCTTGATACATTTCAACATTTCTTGCAATGCATGGAGGCCAAACAAATACAAACTGCACCCCACCCCCTAAAAAAACAAAAAAAAACAACAACAAACAAATCAAGTAAAATAAAAGCTTTCATAAAGAGGTGTACAGCGGGGTGCAGTGGTGTACAGCGGTGTATATATTTTGGTCGATTATCCTATGTTACATACACAGTTAATGTATCCGATGTACTGCTATTTGACACAGACTCCTACTCATGTGCATGTAACATAACAAAATAACATGTCTCATTATTTTCTTCTGACTAAATCAACAAATAGCCTCTACACCAGTTCTTCTCATCATCGTCGTCTGACTACAATCAACAAATAGTCTCTACACCAGTTCTTCTCATCATCGTCGTCTGACTACAATCAAAAAATAGTCTCTACACCAGTTCTTCTCATTATTTGCGTCTGAGTCCCATTCAAGAAATAGTCTCAACACCAGTTATTCTCAGCATTGTCGTCTGACTCCAATCAAGAAATAGTCTCTACACCAGTTATTCTCATCCTCGTCGTCTGACTTCAATCAAAGTCCTGGTCTCTTGCATCTACACATAGGGCATCCGTGTTTGTCAAAGACCTGCCCACCCGCACAACGAATGGCGCACCTCATGGGGCACCTCCGCGGCACTGACATCGCCCTTCTATTTCTACGTGAGTGCCGGCACTCGCATTTCCGGCAGCCATTGTCGTCTGTTACCAGTCTGGACCCAAACCTGAAATGGCAAAACATTTATGAATTCAAATGTCTCAGAAAACATACTAAGAGGCATGGTATAAGTTAATCGCTTTGCAGGCTTAAGTACGATGTACACATTTTCTTTATTGTGCTTGACAATTATGATTGGGCTGGCTGCAGTTTTATACTGAGTCCAGATGCGGGTGCTAAAAAGGGTTATCTTCTCATTTACATTTACCCCCCACTGGCTGGAACACATTATAGAGAATGAGAAGATACGTTTTTTTTTACACCCGCACCCGCTTCCGGTTTTACGGGCTCCGGGTATGTACCGGGTGTGCCAATACTCGGCATATCCGGGTCATTACGGGGGCTCAGCCCTACTCTAAATAATTAAAACAATCATGCGTGTCTGGCGGCCATTTGCGTACCTGGGCGAACTCTAAAAAGGGCGCCCTCTAACAAGCACACACACATCATTTATCAAATGTTGTAAATAAACCCCAAAGAGTTCCGCCATCGGTGGTCGCCCCTCTCGCCACTACGGCAACACTGCGCCCATGCTATTTTATATGGCTACGTAAATACACGTGCATAATTCCACATAAAAATGCGTTAATTACAAATACATTAATACGGACAGGTAACTAGCCACGAACCTGCAGCCAACAGTCGGGCAAGGCAGCTTGGTGTTGGGGCACTCGCACTGGCACGTCGGACATCCCAGGGCATCAGTCTTGAACACATCACACGAGCCCAGTGGGCAGTAGACGTGGGGGCACGTTACAGAGGTCCCTGTCCCGTTGATGGGGGCACATGAACACCTGCTTGGGCTCAACACGAGACCCCTGCCAATGTCACAATGGAGCATGCACCGGATCGGGGCGGTGCCTGTACGGGGGTCAGTTTTAGAGAAATGTTTATGGATGTTCTAACTTTAACAATCCCGTAATACTTATTTTATGTATCATAATGTGGAGAAACATGGATATAACCAGATCTATGGAAAGTAACTGCACCCTATTGTTACCCTATTGTTACCCTATGAGCTATTTTTATAAAACACAAAAATAACTCATGTAACTAACTACATGAGTTTGTGTACTCACGTGTGGAGCTCCCACTGACCACGGCAAGGGCTACCATCAACAACAGTAAGCTTGATGACCACATTTTAGGTTGAAATCATTCAAATGAGAAAGTCTTTTCTCCGTCTATCCAAATAGCTCACTATATGTACTACGAGTTAGAGCGGCAGAAATGTTATTAGCCAAAGATGTTTTGTTAGGAGGGCTGTGGCGCGTGACCCATATCAACAATGACAGGTTGAACCTGACACATAACAGCTAACCCATCCCCCCCCCCCACACACACACGCACACACACTGCACATCGCTTTCAACGCGTCCCGTTTCAAAAATCACTAAGAAATAAGAATGAACTCGTCGAAAAAATTTGAGGTTAATTTGATCCTATGGGAGGGGGTCGTATGTCTGTATGAGGTAAATTTGCTCCCATAGGAGGGGTCGTATGTCTGTATGAGGTAAATTTGATCCTATGGGAGGGGGTCGTATGTCTGTATGAGGTAAATTTGATCCTATGGGAGAGGGTCGTATGTCTGTATGAGGTAAATTTGATCCCATGGGAGGGGGTTGTATGTATGAGGTAAATTTGATCCTATGGGAGAGGGTCGTATGTCTGTATGAGGTAAATTTGATCCTATGGGAAGGGTAGATATGTCTGTATGAGGTAAATTTGATCATATGGGAGTGGGTCGTATGTCTGTATGAGGTAAATTTGATCCCATGGGAGGGGGTCGTATGTCTGTATGTGGTAAATTTGATCCTATGGGAGGGGGTCGTATGTCTGTATGAGGTACATTTGATCCCATGGGAGGGGAGTAGTATGTCTATTGTTTGATTCGTTGGGAAGATCTTAAAATCCTAGTAACGGAGTTAAAGGCAATCGGCCATGGCTTTTTTCAATATAATTAGTCATAGCTTGTCTCAAGACAGTTTCTTATGTCTAGTCCCCAGACAAATTGTTATTGTTTGGCTTAAGACAGTTTGTCGTGTCTTTCTCAAGACATATTTGTTATGGCTTGTATCAAGACAATTTACCGTGGTTTGTCTCAAGACAGTTTGTCAAGTCTTGTCTCAAGACATATTTGTTATGGCTTGTCTCAAGACAATTTACCGTGGTTTGCCTCAAGACAGTTTGTCACGTCTAGTCTCCGGATAATTTACCGCGGCCTGTCTCAAGACAAATTGTTATGGCTTGTCTCAAGACAAATTTTGTATAGCTTGTCTCGAGAATATTTGTTATCCACTCAAATAACTAATTATGTCGTAGGTTTGAAACGGGAAACGGATGCGACATTCTGTCTTCTTTTCTTGACCTCGTCCGTTCTTTTGTTGTCATTGTTTTGGTGTGTTGGGATGACCTCCAAACTTTGAAGAAAGGAATCCCTGCTAATGGGCCTTTTTATTGTGTTTTCGGGCCCTTGAGTCTACCGTTTTCTGTCGCAGGTCATTCGAAATAAAGCAAACAACAGGACTATTGAAATTTGGCACCTTGAACTTCAAAACAGAAATAGTTGGATTGAGTTCGTTAGTGTTGTTTAAAAAAAATAAAAAAATGGAGTACTTAGTTACAAGTCTCGAGGCTGTACACAAAATTTTACAGGGGTGCAAGTGATTAAGAGATAGCAGTGACCTTGTTTTAGTTGACCAAGTTTTGAAGATGTTTGTTAATGGAATGATATCTTAAACAGTCAACCCGGATCCAGGCGTTCTTTAGTTCAGTTCCGTATGCGGGCACCTGGTGCGTGTTGTGTACAGGGAAGGCTTTAGCCATTCACGGGGCATAAGAAACAAAACAAACAAAAAAAGTCAGTATCCGCCTCTGAAACAAAACAAACGAGTTGTGGCAAGAGCAAAAGGATGACGCGTTATTTCATTCTGGTTTTACCGCTATTGAGATGTGAACACCGCTCTTCTTGGCGTGCGGGTTGGTCGAATGGTCATCAGTGTTCATGGAGATTTATAACTAAAAAGAACATTTACAATGTACTGGAAGGGACATTCCCAACCCGATGGTGCCTGGCCTGGGATACGTATTGATGGGGGGGGGGGAAGAGGAGCGAAAAGGTGTGTGTGTGTGTGTGTCCCGGGGGAGGGGGGTAAGCGGGTGTTTGGCATTGATAAAAGTGCACAAAAATTTTCTTCATCTCATTTTACAATGAGATCAAATTAGTTCTAATTGTATGGCTTATCTTTGGATACACTTGTTGGTTGTTACTCGTAAAGACGTAATGCCCCCACTCAATGTGATCCCGTTAGTGTTAAATATTATATGAGTTGTCGCCTTTAGATGAAAATAAACATTATTTTATTCACTGATATCGCCGTTTTATAATTGCCATCTCCGTTATACGACTTCCAACTCCGTTATACGACTTCCAATTCCGTTATACGACTTCCAACTCCGTTATACGACTTCCAACTCCGTTATATGACTTCCGATTCCGTTATACGACTTCCAATTCCGTTATACGACTTCCAATTCCGTTATACGACTTCCAATTCCGTTATACGATTTCCAATTCCGTTATACGACTTCCAATTCCGTTATACGACTTCCAATTCCGTTATACGACTTCCAACTCCGTTATACGACTTCCAATTCCGTTATACTACTTCCAATTCCGTTACACGACTTCCAACTCCGTTATACGACTTCCAATTCCGTTATACGACTTCCAACTCCGTTATACGACTCATATCTCCGCAATATGACTAACATCTTCGCTATACGACTAACATCTCCGCTAAACGACAGACATCTCCCCTATACCACTGACATCTTCGTCACACGATAGACATCTTTACCGTACGTCTTAAATTTACGTTATAAGGCTGACATCTTCGCTATAAGACAGATCTTTACCATAAATTTCCGCTATACGACTGGCATGTCCATCAGACGACTTAAATGTCGCTCTAACACCTACATGTCAACAATGCGCTGAGTTTTTGTGTAACAATTGCGACATGAAAATGTTCATCACGTGGTCGACAGGATCTGGATGTCTCTCTCGCAGTTGTACACAAGGCTCTGGGCAGAAGTAAATCCTGGACCTGTGTCGTGTAACCGTACTTTAAAAAAAAAAAGTTTACCGGGAACGAGACACAAGCAAAAAATAACCCTCAAAGAAAAAAAACTTCAACACGTGGAAAATTACCATGACACGAGAAACAGATGATCTATGGGCATATGATTACAGGGCTTTCCCGAAGACATTATGTTCCCCGACTGCAGGGTCAAGACTATAGCTTAGGTTTATTTAAATACCCTTTTTTTGTGTTCCCAAGTCTCACGTCAAAACAAATTATGTAAACGTATGTTTTGAATTGGAGAACTTTCAGTGTTAAAACTAACATAATAACTTATTTAAAGCCAAAAGTATGGGATGTTTATTTGTGATACTGTTATTGAATACGTATTTGACTCCATACATTTTCCCAGCAGGGTGACACGGTCTTCGCACACATATACACACATACACACACACCAACATACACATACACACACACAGACAAACACACAGCACACAGACAAACTGATAAACTCACGCACAAATACACAAACACACCCTCAGGCACCCACACAAGCACACACACAAACTCACAAACACACACAAACAATTATACACACAAACACACTCACACACACACACAAACACGTGCACACACAAAATGAATGTAGGAAGCTCCCCTCTTCTTCCACTGGTTTCTAGCACTCAAGACTTCATCTGTGTGAGGGGGACACCCACTGCTAGTGTGCTATTAAATTTACGAAATAAGTTTTTTGAATTATTTAAAGGAGGTGTTTCATTCATAAAAGTTGATGACTAACTGACATTGCCATGACAGCACCATTGTCCCCAAAGAGTTCAACATCAGATCTTGACAATACTCTGTGTTCTTGTGTTTTGCCAGTGCGGATGTAGTGCGTTCATGATAACTACACAATAACAAGTTCCATGGTATTCAACGGAACTGTTTACAGATGAGAAGGTTCAAAGAAGAATCAGCTTATGTCTGAGCTTATGTCTGAGCTTATGTCTGAGCTTATGTCTGAGCTTATGTCTCGGCTTATGTGTCAGCTTATGTCTCGGCTTATGTCTCGGCTTATGTCTCCACTTATGTCTCAGCTTATGTCTCAGCTTATGTCTCAGCTTATGTCTCAGCTTATGTCTCAGCTTATGTCTCAGCTTATGTCTCAGCTTATGTCTCAGCTTATGTCTCAGCTTATGTCTCAGCTTATGTCTCGGCTTATGTCTCGGCTTATATCTAAGCTTATGTCTCAGCTTATGTCTCAGCTTATGTCTCAGCATTGTGAACTGAAGTGCATTGTTCTTCTTGGAAGTCTATCATTGAATGTAAATTCAACTTGTTAACAAATGGTCCTTCTAAATGCGGTTCTAACACTGATCATTCCCATGGAAATAGTAAAACAAGGAATGTGGAAGCATGAAGAGAAAGACAGGGCAATAAAGAAAGAACGTTCCGGCTAAGTGCCCTCCTCTGCAGACAGGACAACTGAAGAAAAAAAAAAGACCGAAATAGAAACTAGTTTAGAAACTTGAGTGTTCGCCATTGTTAAAGCCGGAAATGGATTTTCCAAAACTAAGATTACCGGAAGTGAAAGAATTTATATATCCTCACTGAGAAAAACAAGATTTTAAAGGACAAACCCAATTTGGAAATATGTAAAAATATAAGAAATAAAAAATGAAATACAGTGAAATTGAGGAGCACTATCTTAGAGTATTTGATCGATTCCATACGGTGATATTTTGCCAAAAAGCTGAGTTAATTTGTTTTCCCTTAGAACCCTTTTTCGCTGGTGTGTTGGTACAGGAAATCAGTGCCGTGATGGATGCATCTGATGTCAATATATTTTAATCTCTGTTGAAATGGGATGAGACCGGGGATTGTTTACCCTGTTAAATATTACAAAGATGTTCAGTGAAACTATCCGATAATCTTCTTCCAGTTCCGCCTTTATAAGAGGAGCGGCATCACTATTGTGTGTTTCTTTTGTGTCGTTTAGTCTAATCTATGACTTGGTTTCAGTCTAATCTATGACTTGGTTTCAGTCTAATCTATGACTTGGTTTCAGTGTAATCAATGACTTGGTTTCAGTCTAATCTATGACTTGGTTTCAGTCTAATCTATGACTTGGTTTCAGTCTAATCTATGACTTGGTTTCAGTCTAATCTATGACTTGGTTTCAGTCTCATCTATGACTTGGTTTCAGTCTCATCTATGACTTTGTTTCAGGCTCATCTATAACTTGGTTACAGGCTCATCTATGACTTGGTTTCAGTCTAATCTATGACTTTGTTTCAGTCTCATCTATGACTTGGTTTCAGTCTCATCTATGACTTTGTTTCAGGCTCATCTATAACTTGGTTACAGGCTCATCTATGACTTTGTTTCAGTCTAATCTATGACTTTGTTTCAGTCTCATCTATGACTTTGTTTCAGTCTCATCTATGACTTTGTTTCAGGCTCATCTATGACTTGGTTTCAGTCTCATCCATGACTTTTTTCAGGCTCATCTATGACTTGGTTACAGGCTCATCTATGACTTGGTTTCAGTCTAATCTATGACTTTGTTTCAGTCTAATCTATGATTTGGTTTCAGTCTCATCTATGACTTGGTTACAGGCTCATCTATGACTTTGTTTCAGTCTCATCTATGACTTTGTTTCAGGCTCATCTATGACTTGGTTTCAGGCTCATCTATGACTTGGTTACAGGCTCATCTATGACTTGGTTTCAGTCTAATCTATGATTTGGTTTCAGTCTAATCTATGACTTGGTTTCAGTCTAATCTATGACTTTGTTTCAGTCTCATCCATGACTTTGTTTCAGGCTCATCTATGACTTGGTTTCAGGCTCATCTCTGACTTTGTTTCAGTCTAATCTATGACTTTGTTTCAGTCTAATCTATGACTTGGTTACAGGCTCATCTATGACTTTGTTTCAGTCTCATCTATGGCTTGGTTACAGGCTCATCTATGACTTTGTTTCAGTCTAATCTATGACTTGGTTTCAGTCTAATCTATGACTTGGTTTCAGTCTCATCTATGACTTTGTTTCAGTCTAATATATGACTTTGTTTCAGTCTAATCTATGACTTTGTTTCAGGCTCATCTATGACTTTGTTTCAGTCTAATCTATGACTTTGTTTCAGGCTCATCTATGACTTTGTTTCAGTCTAATCTATGACTTGGTTTCAGTCTCATCTATGACTTCATTTCAGTCTCATCCATGACTTTGTTTCAGGCTCATCTATGACTTGGTTTCAGGCTCATCTATGACTTTGTTTCAGTCTAATCTATGACTTGGTTTCAGGCTCATCCATGACTTTGTTTCAATCTAATCTATGACTTGGTTTCAGGCTCATCCATGACTTGGTTTCAGTCTCATCTATGACTTTGTTTCAGTCTCATCTATGACTTGGTTTCAGTCTCATTTATGACTTTGTTTCAGTCTCATCTATGACTTTGTTTCAGGCTCATCTATGACTTTGTTTCAGTCTCATCTATAACTTCGTTTCAGTCTTAATTTATGACTTGGAATCAGCCTAAACAATGACTTGGAATCAGCCTAAACAATGACTTGGTTTCAGTCTAATCTATGACTTGGTTTCAGTCTAATCTATGACTTGGTTTCAGTCTAATCTATGACTTGGTTTCAGTCTACTATATGACTTGGTTTCAGTCTAATCTATGACTTGGTTTCAGTCTAATCTATGATTTGGTTTCAGTCTTAATTTATGACTTGGAATCAGTCTAAACAATGACTTGGTTTCAGTCTAATCGATGACTTGGTTTCAGTCTAATCTATGACTTGGTTTCAGTCTAATCTATGACTTGGTTTCAGTCTAATCTATGACTTGGTTTCAGTCTACTATATGACTTTGTTTCAGTCTTATCTATGACTTGGTTTTAGTCTCATCTATGACTAGTTTTCAGTGTAATCTATGACTTTTTTTCAGTCTCATCCATGACTTTGTTTCAGGCTCATCTATGACTTGGTTACAGGCTCATCTATGACTTTGTTTCAGTCTAATCTATGACTTGGTTTCAGTCTAATCTATGACTTGGTTTCAGTCTAATATATGACTTTGTTTCAGTTTAATCTATGACTTGGTTTCAGTCTAATCTATGACTTTGTTTCAGTCTAATCTATGACTTGGTTTCAGTCTAATCGATGACTTTGTTTCAGTCTAATCTATGACTTGGTTTCAGTCTAATCTATGACTTGGTTTCAGTCTAATCTATGACTTTGTTTCAGTCTAATCTATGACTTGGTTTCAGTCTAATCTATGACTTTGTTTCAGTCTAATCTATGACTTGGTTTCAGTCTAATCTATGACTTGGTTTCAGTCTAATCTATGACTTTGTTTCAGTCTAATCTATGACTTTGTTTCAGTCTAATCTATGACTTGGTTTCAGGCTCATCTATGACTTTGTTTCAGTCTAATCTATGACTTTGTTTCAGTCTCATCCATGACTTTGTTTCAGTCTAATCTATGACTTGGTTTCAGTCTAATCTATGACTTGGTTTCAGTCTAATCTATGACTTTGTTTCAGTCTAATCTATGACTTGGTTACAGGCTCATCTATGACTTTGTTTCAGTCTAATCTATGACTTGGTTTCAGTCTAATCTATGACTTTGTTTCAGTCTAATCTATGACTTGGTTTCAGTCTAATCTATGACTTTGTTTCAGTCTAATCTATGACTTTGTTTCAGTCTAATCTATGACTTTGTTTCAGTCTCATCCATGACTTTGTTTCAGTCTAATCTATGACTTGGTTTCAGTCTAATCTATGACTTGGTTTCAGTCTCATCTATGACTTTGTTTCAGGCTCATCTATAACTTGGTTTCAGTCTAATCTATGACTTGGAATCAGTCTAAACAATGACTTGGTTTCGGTCTAATCTATGACTTGGAATCAGTCTAAACAATGACTTGGTTTCAGTCTAAGCGATGACTCAACACCATTCAAATAGTATTAAAAGCACGCATGGCTGCCTACACATGGAATCTCTAAAGATATCCAGTAACCGGCATTTTGATCTGACATTTTTCTACCTGTGTTCTTTCTTGCACTCCTCCACTGCACTCCTCCATCTCCACAGCACCCGACGCTTACCGTCTGACCCACACGTTCTCCCCCCACCCCCCCCCAATAAACCCACACCACTCTCCTCTCTTCACCGCAGCCCTTACATATTCCAACGGCACTGACCATCTTATTACATGCCCCAACCTTACCTGCCCCTGCACCAACTCCGGTGAACTGTTCCTAATTCATTAATAATAATTTTAAACTTTTTATGAAAACCATTAACCTAAAAAAAAAGCATTGAAAAGACAGCCAATAATAACAAACAAAAAACAACCTTTTCAAAAATTACTCTCCGAGTGTTTAATATCTGTCCATCGGTCAAGAGGGTGGAAAATACAATCACATTCATTGAGTGCAACGCAGAACTTTTACATTTCAGGAATAAACACTAGCACGAACATTTTAAATTACAATAATTCCAGAGGCTCGTTACAACCCATTTTAATATAGATTAAAAAAAAAAAAATCTTTATATGACATCAGTAGGTAACTGCATGAATTGTTTACACTTGAATACACAATAACAACACAATTCAACAAAAGAACAACACAACTTGAATTAATATCAACAAATCATCAAGGAAAATATAATGGCTTAGGTTATACAGGTACAAAATAAAAATCAGTTTCAAACGCGTGTACTGTTGTTTTAGTTGACCAACTCGTCACGTGCACACACACACACACACGGATGCTGAGAACGTCCGATTCCGTCAGGCACCGGAAGTCATATTCAACAAAAACAAATCATTACACCCGAGAGGTCTCATAACCCCAAGGTGACCTTACGGGAACAGGGGTTTCAGCTGCTACGCCCAAACGGGCCCAACCTCCCACGGCGGTCTCACGGGGCCAGGTCTGCAGATGCACGTCGGACAGCCGTTGTCATCCAGCACGTTGCCGTTTAGACAGTAAATGGCGCAGACCGGTGGGCACCGCGTTTGCCTGGGCACCAATCTGCTCGGTGCGCGGCACTTACACGCCAGGCAGCCGTTGTCGTCTTGTCCCACTCTTGGACCAAATCTGAAAGTGACATCAAGTTACTTAGCTTCAAACATCTCTAAACTGTGAAGGAATTTTGCTGTACCTTTTTTTTTTAGAGGGGTGGGGGATTTGCTTTCAATTGAAATGACGTCACAGTTAAACTTGTATAATGAACATTTTGATCTACAGAACAGTGGAACCCCGCCAAACACTTAACACGATGCTTGGGGGGGGGGGGGGTCTATTCAATTATTTCTCATTAATCAATTAGAAGATTTAAGTAGAACAAGGTATCTGGAAGCTTGAATCGAAAGGCATGACGATAAGACAAGTATAGTTCCACAATTTCCATGCATTTCTTTTCTTAGTTCTAACGTTTTATACCCCTCCAAAATAGTGTTGTCCGTTAAGCTCGTATGTTTCCACAGAGTTAGCAAATAAATTCTTTCACTTTCGGAAATTTTAATTTTGAAAAATCCAACTTTCATAGAAGACATTGGTCGAAAGTTTCAAGGCTGCCCTGGCATCAGCTAGGAGCTGTTAGAATAGCAACATCATACCCCCAACCGTTGCGAAGATGCCAGTACATGGATGCAGCGACGAAACATTACCAGAACCAGAAGATTAACCATTGCGATCACTTAAGTTTTTAAACTAGACTCTATGTCTGGTCAAATTTTCATTTGTTCTGTCTGCCGAAACGTTCTTTCTTCTCTTACTGCCCCGTCTTTCGATTCAAACTTCCACGTGCCTTGTTCTGCAATTTCCTTCACACACGTTGAACGCATTCCTTCATGTATTATTATCCTTCATTCTCGTTAATTATAGCTGTATCCTGCAACATCCCATTTTAAAGGAGATTTTTTTTTTCTTCTTAAAGTAGGAAGATGGATAACTGTTTTAATCACTTGAGTTCAATGAACATTGCGATGGTGAAATTGACCTTGTTCGAGTTAACGGTACGAATGTAGCATAATAGTGTACGTATTTGTAGCATTACAGTGAACACAAGTGCATCATTACCCTGTAAATAAAATGTAGCATCACAGTGTACGCAAATGTAGCACTACACCGTATACAATTGTAGCAATACAGTGCAGACGAATTTAGTATCAGAGTGTACACAGATTTATCATTACAGTTTACACAAATGTGGGATCACTGTGTACACAAATGTAGCATTACACTGTACACAGTTGTAGCATTACGTTTTTTTTTTGTCTTAAATAAAACCCCAAATATGACCTTCCTTATCATACACGTAGTGATCTCCCTTGTTGTATGGTGACATTTTAACAAGTTTTTACACCTGGCTACTTTGTACCAGTGCTGGCCGCTCTGCTATTGTACTTAATAATCATTTCAAAAGCATCCCACACAACTAGCCACATACCTGCAGCCTTCAGTCGGGCAAGGTAGCTTGAGTTCGGGGCAAGTCGGGGTTCCACTGTTAATGGGGACACAGTGACAACCTTTTGGGCTCAATATGTAACCACTGTCATAGTCGCAGTCCAACATACAATGGTTGATGCCAGGACCTGTAAGGAACAATAATCATGAGAAGATAGCAGCGTTCACTTCTTTGTTTTAGAGACGTTGTAGTGGCCGAATTTCATCTATTTAGCAGATGTGGTTTGAAGGGACTTAATGAATGCCTGCTTGACTTTGAGACCGTAAGTTAACTAACATTGGTCTTTACAGGGCTGCTAGACAGTAACTTCACTAACATTGATGTATTCAGCTATTGGACGTAGTGTTTTTGAGATTAAATAATGTAAGGTGAAATAAGTAGTTATGAAGTTATGGCTAGGTGAGAAGCTATGAAGTTATAGCTTGGTGTGAATTTATGTAGTTATAGCTAGGTGAGAGGCTTATAGTTATAGCTAGGTGGGAAGTTATGAAGATATTGCTTGGTGAGAAGTTATGCAGTTATAGCTAGGTGAGAATTTATATAGTTATAGCTAGGTGAGGAGTTATCTAGTTATTTATTAGAAGAGAATTTATGTATTTATAGATAAGTGAGAAGTTATGTCGCTATAGCTAGGTGAGCAGCTTTGAAGTTATAGCTAGGTAAGAAGTTATGAACTTAAAGCTTGGTGAGAAGTTATACAATTATAGCAAAGCGGATCGCTTCAATTTATCTTCTTAAATGACTTGTCGTCCTCAGTTAAGACAATGTTATTCATTGAAACACAGTTTGTACTCACCTACCCCACCAACCCCAGCAACTCCGAGAACCAGAAACACCAACACTAAGGAACAGAAACGCAACATAGTTGCTGGATTTCAAATAGTTTTTGTTTTGTTTTTTCAATTGCCAAAGAAAGAGATGATCCCTGCGTCTAGCTGTTGAATCTACCACGTAGAAGTGCGACGACGGACATCATTTATAGATCCTTTGAGCCAACAGGGATGGTGTAGGCTGGGTTGGGCTGGAGTGACCGCGTCCAGGATGTAACTACTGACATGAAAACAACGGGCCTATCCCCACCACAATCCCCCTTCCCAATACATCATACAGATATACGTGTGTTTTCTGTTCTTTCGCTTTACAGCGGCTTCTTTAAGGATATTTATGTTAAGAAGGATCTCGATGTTAAGAAGGATATTTATGTTAAGAAGGATATTTTTTAAGAAGGATATAGATCTTATCAAGGATCTTGATCCTATAGGGGCGTCCATGAACTGTGTCAACAAAATGGGGTGGGGGGTGGGAAGGGGGTTGGGAATTATTTGTTGAAAAGGGGTAGGAGGGGCTCAATTCATTCACGTCAACAATCATGTTTCCTCTCTTAAAGTTTGAATCTAAAAAATTGTCTGGTTATTATATTATTTTAAACAATTTAATGAGTGCAAATAGTCATATAATTTTTAGGCTTTTAAAAATATAAGATTTATGTAATGTCTGTCGTTGCATTGCTGATGGCTGGTCAGAATGTTAGCACACTTTGTTAGTGCAAGAGAAGTCAAAAGATGGACTTTCTTCCCCTGTAGATTCTGTTTGTCGCAAATGTCGCGGTATGTTTGCGATCATGTTGCAAGTATGGAACAAGGTCAAGGTTCGAGTGTCATGTGCGGTCAAGATAAATGATATTAATAGAGTAGGAATACGATATTTTGAGAATTAGGGGAAAGTAAAGCGAGTAACAATAACAACATCGCTGCTTGAGCGGATTTTCGAAACCTGTAACATCCATTTTGCATCACAAGTCATGTTGAAATAACATGTTCAACAGCACCGACAATGCATAAGAAATTAGCACCTGCTCCTCAGCAAAAAAAGTATTCGGCTAATGCCAGTAGCTGCCAGGAGACAGAGAGAGAGCTTATGGCAATTGTTGCTCACACTGACAATGCTTCTATTGTAAGTGCTGAATGGTTAGATGCGGATGATGTTGACTTGCCTGGTATAACAGTGCCGCAAGATAAGAATGATCAATCAGCTACTATGCCCATTGTTACGATAGAGCAACACCTGGCTACATCACGGGAAGATGATTGCAGCTAGAAACTGTACTACAATTGTCAGCTACACTGACAATAATCATATTTACACTTCCACTAACATTGATACTTAGGCTTTAACAATGTTTTAATTGATTACGCATTATACAATTTAAGTGTACACATTTGTGTACCTGTTGAGTAACAAGTTAAAGACGTATAAATGTAGTTCATTCAAATTTATGTGTCACTTAAAAAGAGACAAAGTAAAAGGTATTTTTATATTTATTTATATTATATTTCACTTTTTTTAAAAAAAGAGGTTTAGGGGGGGGTGTTAATAAAATGTTGACTCATTTCTTAAGGGGTGGGGGGTCATTGAAAGTTTGACAGTTGTTGACAAGAGGGCTAAAAAATTGCGCACAAGTTGTTGACGTTGTTAATAGACCGGATTGATATGAAGGATACTGGTGTTATAAAGAATATTTATGTTATGGAGGATATTGATGCTATTAATGATATAGATGTTATCAAGTATATTGATGATATAAATGATATAGATGTTATCAAGTATATTGATGATATAAATGATATAGATGTTATCAAGTATATTGAGGCTATTAATGATATAGATGTTATCAAGTATATTGATGATATAAATGATATAGATGTTATCAAGTATATTGATGCTATTGATGATATAGATGTTATCAAGTATATTGATGATATAAATGATATAGATGTTATCAAGTATATTGATGATATAAATGATATAGATGTTATCAAGTATATTGATGATATAAATGATATAGATGTTATCAAGTATATTGATGATATAAATGATATAGATGTTATCAAGTATATTGATGATATAAATGATATAGATGTTATCAAGTATATTGATGATATAAATGATATAGATGTTATCAAGTATATTGATGATATAAATGATATAGATGTTATCAAGTATATTGATGATATAAATGATATAGATGTTATCAAGTATATTGATGATATAAATGATATAGATGTTATCAAGTATATTGATGATATAAATGATATAGATGTTATCAAGTATATTGATGATATAAATGATATAGATGTTATCAAGTATATTGATGATATAAATGATATAGATGTTATCAAGTATATTGATGATATAAATGATATAGATGTTATCAAGTATATTGATGATATAAATGATATAGATGTTATCAAGTATATTGATGATATAAATGATATAGATGTTATCAAGTATATTGATGATATAAATGATATAGATGTTATCAAGTATATTGATGATATAAATGATATAGATGTTATCAAGTATATTGATGATATAAATGATATAGATGTTATCAAGTATATTGATGATATAAATGATATAGATGTTATCAAGTATATTGATGATATAAATGATATAGATGATATCAAGGATATTGATGTTCGTAAGACTTGAAAGTAATATATATATATATATATATATATATATAAGAAACGTTTGCAGCTATACTGGATATAAAATATGTCAAGACCATTTTTGAAAAAAGCAGGATATATATTCCGAAAACTTAAAAAAACTTTGGAAGGGAGAGGGGCCATTATGTAATTTTTTAAAAAGAATGTGACCTTTAAAAATACTATTAGGGCTCTGATACCAACATATATTTGCAATATAAGACATTTTATCTTTGCCCCACACATGCATGCCGTACATTATTTATTTCATGTCGAATGACTTCAGAGTTTTATCCCAAGCAAACATCGAAGGTCTCCTTTTTTTTCAGTTTTCGGGAAAACCACTATCACTCGTGCAGTGGAAAAAAAAAAAAAAAAGGTCACATGCGTGGTCAGAAACGCAAACATGTGACGTAAGACATGAGTCTCGGCTTCGTGCCTTGCTCCCGAAACATAGATTTATTGTCGACTGAACTTTGTGAACTTTGACCTCAGCCCTACACACGCAAGTCTGGTTAAACACGTGTTACCGAAGTTGCGATCTATCCTTCATTTCAGAGAACCAGACACAAAACAACACAACACAATTCATGTTAAAGACTTATTTTTACAAGGCTTTGAATACAGGTGTGGTGAGCCTCATCGAAATGTGCGAACGCACAATGATGTGCCCTAATTCTTATCTCATAATGTCTGTGATGTGCCCTTGTTCTTTTCTCATGTCTTTAATATGCCTTGTTCTTTTATCTCATAATGTCTGTAATGTGCGTTGTTCTTTTTTGCATTACGACTCTCATGCACCCTTATTTCTTTTCTCATAATGTCTGTGATGTGCCCTTGTTCTTTTCTCATAATGTCTGTGATGTGCCCTTGTTCTTTTCTCATAATGTCTGTGATGTGCCCTTGTTCTTTTCTCATAATGTCTGTGATGTGCCCTTGTTCTTTTCTCATAATGTCTGTGATGTGCCCTTGTTCTTTTCTCATAATGTCTGTGATGTGCCCTTGTTCTTTTCTCATAATGACTCTCATGTGCCCTTATTCTTTTCTCATAAGGTCTGTGATGTGCCCTTGTTCTTTTCTCATAATATCTTGTGAAAACTTTGGTTACTAAATAATGTTTCAACGGCCTACTAACTCCTCTAGAAGGTTATTTGATTCTTCAGCGGTTGCAACTTTTGCATATGATTTCTTAATCTCCTATTTCCTCCCTTTGCTCCTCTTATCTCCCTCTGATCTCCCCGACTGGTTGGTGTGACCACCCTTCCCTCTGATCACCTACTTACAAGACGCTAAGAGATATGCTAATAAATCCATTTACCAGTTATTGAATCAATGGAACATTTCCGCGGTGGGGCCATTTTGTCCACTTTTTCAATTATTACGTCAACGTCTGAAAGAGGGATAATACAGACGGGGGAGAGTTTCCTCAGCTTCAGCCTTGACCTTACCCATCTGGTGGTTATTTGGGTGGGGGGGGGGGTTAAGGGGTCCATAAACTTTGTGTATAATGTTATGCTATGTATAACAAGTTTGACCATGCAAAAACACTTCTGAGAGCGCTGCACTGGCTGCCAGTGCGTGCTCGCATGGAGTACAAAATCGCAACTTTGTGCTACCGCTGCTTACATGACCTGGCGCCGTCCTATCTGAAAGAGCTGCTGACGCCTTATGTACCCACTAGAGAGCTCCGCTCATCCGATAGTGGCAAACTCTCGACACCACGTGTTTGCCTTGAGACTTACGGAAAGCGCACTTTCGCATTTGCTGGTCCACTAATTTGGAACGCCCTTCCTGTCGATCTCAGAAACAACCAGACACTGGAGTCCTTTAAAACCGATTTAAAGACACATCTATTTCGCAAACACCTTCTGGGATGATTGTCAACATTATTTTCCAGTTAATGCATAATGGCTGTGTTGCTTATGGTTGAAATGGCTAGAAAGACTTTGCTATTGTATGCTTGTACTTAGTTTTTGTCGTGTTGCGTTTGTTTTAAATGTGGTAAACTATAGATTTGTTTTTTGTTGACTTTGTACCGCGCTTCGAGCCTTTGGGGATGAAGCGTGTTTTTGAAATGAACTTTCTTATTATTATTATTTATATATATATATATATATATATATATATATATATATATATATATAACATGTCATCTTTGCGTAAAGACCGGATGTCCATTATTTGCTACCAAAAACTAAATACTGCCACATTTTCAATATTTTTTGCATAGGATAGGATTTTGATTAGAGCCGTCTAAGTAACAATTACAGTGTATAAGTCCCTTTGACCTACACCATTGGCTTACAACTTAATGGTGATTAGGGGTAGGGTTACAAAATGGAGGGCTGGGGACGGACGCATAACCTATGGCAAATGCCCAGATCGGGAAACTGATTTAGATCATTAGTTCCACTGAAAGCATGTAGCTATTAGAATTGAACGAGGCCCCTTTTCTTCTAGCACGGGCGGATATTCTCATAAGTTTTGAACTACCGCCCTCACCATCACGTCTTGTTCCTTAAATCCGTACTACGCGTCCTCCATATTGACCTCATCAACACGAGGTTGTTAGGAGGCTGCTCTCGTTCGTCCGGCCGTTTCTTTCTCTCTGTCTCTGCGTAGGACTCATCTCATATAAAAAAAA